CAAAGGGCATGGTGATGTAGCAGTAGGCCCCAAAAGGCGTGATTAATGAGGTCTTCAAGCAGTCAGATTCTTTTAGTCGGATTTGATGATATCCCGAGTAGCAATCCAAAAAACTGAGTAGCTCGCAGCCGGCCGTTGAGTCAACTACCTGGTCAATGCGAGGTAACCCAAAAGGATCTTTGGGACAAGACTTGTTGAGGTCGGTATAATCAACACACATGCACTATTGCCCCGTCTTTTTCCGAACCAGGACTGGGTTAGCCAGCCAGTCGGGATGAAGGACTTCTTTAATGAAGCCCGCCGCTAACAGCTTGGTTAATTCCTCCTTGATCGCATCCTTCCTGTCCTGTGCAAAACGGCGGAGTCATTGCTTGATGGGTTTGGCGTCTTCCTTAACATGTAAAGAGTGCTCAATCACCTCTCTAAGAATACCAGGCATATCGGATGGTTTCCGCGCAAAGATATCTTTATTATTTTGAAGAAAGGTGATGAGCGCGCTTTCCTATTTACAATCTAACTCGGCGCCTATTACAGCAGTCTTACTAGGATCGGAGGGATCTAAAGGAATCTTTTTGGTCTTGGCATCGCTTTCTCCGCTTTTGGGCATCTTGGTTGCGGGCACTTCTCCTTTGCTTGCCATGGTCGCAGCCAGTCGGATCTCTTCTCGGGCGAGTGTGATCTCGCGGGTCTGGGCTATCTCGCAACTTTTTTTATCGCATGTGACGGCTTGCTTGATGTCGCTCCGTAGGGATATGACTTCTCGAGGACCAGGCATCTTCATCATCATGTAGGTGTAGTGTGGAACGGCCATGAACTTGGCTAACGCCGGGCGTCCGAGTATGGCGTGATATGCTGTCTCAAAATCGGCAACTTCAAAGCAGATGTTCTCTGTGCGGAAGTTCTCCCGAGTTCCAAAAGTTACTGGAAGAGTGATCTGGCCGAGTGGCGTTGCTGATAGCCCTGGGATGACTCCGTGGAAGGGTGCATTACTCGGCTGTAATTCTGTGCGAGGAATCTGTATATTGTCCAGGGTTTTGGCGAAAAGGATGTTGAGTGCATTGCCACCATCGATGAGGGTTCTTCGGAGCTTGACGTTACGAACCACTGGGTCTAGTACCAGGGGTACCTCCCCGGGTGGACCACTCGGTCGGGATGATCCGAGCGGTCGAACTTAATTGCTATCTCTGACCACCGAAGGTATTGGGGTGTGTTGGGCTGAACTGCATTGATCTCCCATTCGGTTAGCTTCTGTTTTCTCTTAGATTCGTAAGCCAGGGGTCCGCCGAAGATGTGATTAAGCTCTTTACGGGAGTCCTGAAAACCAGTCGGGGCATCGTCTTCGTCATCTTTCTTCTTTGATGTGCCTTGATCTCCGTCTGAAGGCTTACGTGTGTTCTTGGCATATTGTTCCACAAATTGCTTGTAGACGAAGCAATCTTTGGCAACATGGTTGGAGTTGGGATGATGCGGACATTGGGAGTTCATTATCTTGTCGAAGGTGTTGACACGGGAACGCTGTCGGGAAGATGGAGTAGTTGTCGCCACAAGTTCTTCGGGCTTACGCTTGCGATCCTTGTGATTGTTACTTGCCCTCTCTCCTGCGGCCGGCGTGTCTTTCTTCGGTTTCCAAGTGGTGCCCGACTGCTTGGAGGCGATAATAGCATCTTCGGCTTTGGCATATTCGTTGGCTTTTTCAAACATCTGCTTAACCATCTTGGGAGGTTTGCGTCCGAACTTGCCGACTAGGTCCTCGTGGCGAATGCCTTTAGTAAAGGCAGCGATGATGACGTCGTCGGTGATGTCGGAGATCTTGTTGCGTTGCTCGGAGAAGCGTCGGATGTAATCTCGAAGGGATTCTTCAGACTTCTGAACGACGTTGTAAAGATCAAACTGTGTGCCGGGGCGTTCAAAGGTGCCCTGGAAGTTGGCGATGAAGTGATCACGAAGTTCCGCCCATGATCCGATCGTGCCACGGGGTAGTCCATGGAGCCAGGATCGGGCGGAATCCGCTAGGGCCACAGGTAGATAGTTTGCCATGGCCTTGCTGTCTCCTCCTGCTGTGCGGATTGCGAGTCCGTAGACGGTGAGCCAAGACTCCGGATTAGTGGTGCCGTCATACTTCTCGATTCCAGTCGGCTTGAAGCCGGCTGGCCAATCCACTTGACGTAGGTCATTAGTGAAGGCAGCTACTCCATCCACGTCGTCGTCATAGCGATCTGGTGAATGGCGGTGACCTCGTGCTGCACGGCGCTGGTTGATCGTGTCGCGAAGATCGACGGGACGCTGGCGAGGTGGAGAGCGAGGTCGTTCGACTCGGCGCTCCCTGTGACGTTCGGGAGGCGAGTGAATAGATCGTTCGTCGTGGCCCCTGCTCCTGCGACTGGATCCTACGCCGACGATGCTGAGGCTTGGCGGATGATAATCATGAGATCGGAGATGGGGAACCTGGCTACCAGTCGGCGTGCGAACGCTGCCGGAGTTAACTGGAACTGAAGCGGCGATCATGGTCTTGGTCTGGTTCAAGATGTTGACGACGTGATCGGCTTGATTGAGTGCGTCTTCTTTGAGGAGGGTGTCGAGAAGGGTGATTGCGGCGACAGCGTTCTGTTGGGGGGTGCGAAAGACCGCTGTCCCCTCAACGTCTTGTTGCCCGATAAGATCCCGCGCTCGTCGCCCTGCGTCCAAGGCTCGTTGTCGTTAGTCTACGGCCTCCTTTGCAGCCCGTTCGCGCTCTTGTTGCTCTCGCCATAGCCGTTCTTGTTCTTGCGCTTGGTGTTCCTCTTCCAGTCGGCGTCGCTCGGCTTCCTGCTGTACACGTTGTGCTTCTGCTTCTCGGGCTTGGCGTTGTTCTTCCGTCTCGTTGTTGGCCATGAAGACGCCGACGTAGAGAGGGGTGTAGTTGTCTTCAAAGCTCTCGTCGAAGTCATCGAGGTCGCGGTCGTCGTAGCAGTAGCCGAATTCGTCGTATTCCACGATCTCTGTTGGTCGTGAGTCGACGCCGGGGGAGCTGAGGTAGCCTTCGAGTTGGTCCATCGAAATCGTGCCAAGTGGCTGGAGTATGACGCCGACTTCCCTGAAGCTAGGCGAGATCGGTGTTGAGGTCGACTTCCGCCTAGGCCTACGGGGAGAAGACGCCCTTGTAGTGAAGACGGCAGCCAAATCGTCGGGGAGTTTCATCAGGATTGGCGAGTAAGCCCCATCATCTTGATCTGGTGAAGTTGAAGTAGATTGTATCTCGTCCGAGTGGTTTGAAACCGACTCGATCGAGATAAGCTTGGAGCAGATCTTGGCCGAGTTCGGAATACCGAACGGGGCTGAAACCTGGTTCTCTCCCGACTGGTTTGGATCCGATTCGAGGAGAGAAATCTTGCCAAAGTCGTTGGTGATGAAGTCGAGGCTGCCGAACTGAAACGCCTGCCCGGGGGGAAGACGAGGTCGTCGATGCCATAGAGGGAACCCATCGCACTAATCGGCGAAGTACTTGACGCGGCCCCTACCTAGCGCGCTAACTGTCGAAACAAGATTTCGGCAATAATAAAAGGGGGTGGCTATCAAGTTAGGAAAGTGGATGGGCTTGGAGACAAGGAATTTTATACAGGTTCAGGCCTTCTTATTTAAGAAGTTATACCCTACTTCTGTCCGGGGATGATTCCGCCGAGTGTATTATTGATTGTATGATTGGGAGAAAAAGAATCGTCCCGAGAGGAACCCGAACCCCTCCTTATATAGGGGAAGGGATCCGTATTACAAAATACAGTCCATATCCCTAACGGAATATGTGATATACAATCATAACCGACTAAGATCTCGGATATTTCCTTGACATACGAAATTAACCCGAGTCCTCATAAAGATATTCTATCTATATTTGATACCGTATATCCGACTAAATTATAACTGTCGTGTTGATATGGGGTATCCATAATCTCCACACTGGCCGAGGAGGGTCATTTTTTAGCTCTGGCCGACATGCATCGTGTGGTTGGTTCTTCGCATCAGCTCGATCGCCGGCTCGATCGTGTGCTGTTTGTTTATAAATGGGATCAGGCGATTTGGGTATAGTAGCATCTTCTGAACTTCTGATTACCTGTTGGCTTGCCCTCCCCTCATACTATAAGTATAAGTAGAGTATAGAGTACATATAGAAATACAATTAAGAAAAAATTAGAAATTTGAAAATAAAAAAATAAGGAATATTAGAAGTAGAGTATAGAGTCCATATAGGAATTTAAAACTAACTAAAATTCGAAATAAAAAAGAGCCTCCACGTTCGCTCTCATGATCTAGAAATTCTCATATTAATTGAAGAAAAAGAAAGAAGCAGAGTCCATATAGAAATACAATTTAGAAATAGCTGAAATTCGGAATTAAAATATAAGGAGCATTAGAAGAGGAGACTAGACTCCATATAGAAATACAATTTATAAATAGTTGAAATTCGAAATTAAAAATAAGGAATATTAGAAGTAGAGTCCATATAGAAATACAATTAAGAAAAAAAAAATAGAAATTTGAAATTAAAAAATAATGAATATTAGAAGTAGATTATAGAGTTTATAAACTACTTCTAATATATGTGGAGGTTATGATTATAAACTACTTTTTTAATATAATTTTATTATAATAAAATTATGTTGTCATTGTAATATATTTTAATAATATAATGAGAAAACATATATGGTATTATATGAGAGAAAATAGAAAGATGCTATTTTAAGTCTTAAAACTATTTTTAGATGAAATCAGATGACTGTAAAGTAAAGTACACTCTTATTCCTCCAGGCCAAAGCTGACCTAACCAATTCAAAACGCTCAAATTTTAAACCCAAACCTTCGAATTTCAAAGCAAAGCAACGGCTCCACCACCGTCGCCGTTGCTGCTACCCGCACAAGGTGGGGGCGCGAGCCCAGCCGCCCAACGACTTCCCTCCACTCCACTCCACCTCCCACGATTCCCCATGCCCAATCACAACCCACCGCAACAGCTGCTGCTCGCCTGAGCTGAGCTCCCAATCCGGCAATCCGCCATGCCCGCCGCCGAGAGCTGCCACTCCCGCAGCCTCTCGTGGCTCGTCAAGTCCTGCATCCCCGCCGACCCCGCCCGCCACATCGCCGTCCCCGTTCTTTGCCCCACCCCACAACCACCGCCTCCCTCGTCGCCGCCGGCACCCCCAATCTCCGCCCTCCCCGACGACCTCCTCCTCGAGTGCCTCGCCCGCGTCCCCCGCGCCTCCCTCCCTCCGCTCCCCGCCGTCTCCCGCCGCTTCGCCACGCTCCTCGCCTCCGACGCCTTCCTCCACCTCCGCCGCGCCCACGCCCACCTCCGCCCCTCCCTCCTCGCCCTCTCCGTCTCCGACAACGGCTGCACCGCGCAGGCGCTGCTCCGGTTCGACGCCTCCGTGCCCGTGCTCGAGGTCGCCGCGCTGCCGTTGCCCCCGACCCTGCTGCATTGCTGCGGCTCCGTGTTCGCGCACGCCCGCGCGGTCGTGCTGGGCCGCGATGTCTTCCTCATCGGCCGCGGGGCGACGCTTCGCGTCGACGCGCTCACCGGCGCGGCTCGCGCGTGCGCGCCGACGCTCTTCCCGCGGAAGAAGTTCGCCGCTGCTGCCGTGGGAGACCGGATCTACGTCGCCGGCGGGTCCGCGCGCACCTCGGCGGTCGAGGAGTACGACCCGGAAGTCGACGCGTGGCTTGTGGTCGGCGAGGCGCCGCGGCGGAGGTACGGGTGCGCCGGCGCGAGTGCGGGAGGCGTGTTCTACGTCGCCGGGGGGCGTCGCGGTGTCCGGCGAGGGCGCGCGGGCGCTCGAGGCGCACGTGTGCGCCGGGTCGGTGGACGCGCTGCACGTCGCGTCCGGCACCTGGGCGCGCCCCCGTGCGCTCCCCGGCGGCGGCTGCGTCGTGGGGGCGTGCGGCGTCGGTGACCACCTGTACGTGGTGGCGAGCCACGCGGTGGAGCTCTCCTTCTGGAGGTGGTCCGGCCAATAGAAAATATTTTGTTTGTGACTTGCGGCTAGCTATCAATATTCCTTACTTTTAATTCCGAATTTCGGCTATTTAAAATTATATTTATATATTTACTCTATTGTTATTTTTAATCCGAGTTTTTGATATTTCTAAATTATATTTCTACCTAGACTCTTCTTCAAATTTTTTTTCATTTTATATTCCTAATTTTAGATATATTAAATTTTATTTCTATTTCTAAATAGTTTTCTTTTTCTCTAGGTAGTTGAAGATAATTCTTTATTCTGAATTTCAGATATATTGAAATATATTTTCATTTGAACTCTATTTTTCTTTTTCTCTAATCAATATGAAAATTTGTAGAAAGTGGGAGCGAATATGGTGGCTTTTTTCTGTTACATTAAGATATAATCTCTACTATTATAAAAATTGAAGATGATTTTGCCGATACTTTGGTACGTTATCCGTGTATGAGTCGGATTCTAAGTTTGTTCGCTTTTAGAAATAGATATATGTATTTGAGTAGGTTTTTAAGTTCATTCTTTTTTGAAAATACTGATGGAGTCATATAAGAAATCTAATTTAAAAAAATTCGCATGCTAAGTTAAACGGTTGGACTCTTTACTGCAGCTCATGATTTATAAAATAAAATTAAAACATCTCCGAAAACTAATTTTAATTAGTTAATAATAAAATTATGTTGTTTATTTGGTTATTATAGGGAGCTCCCATGCACACATTAGCTAATTAACCTGCACAGTAAATAGTAAATATACTCATTCCCAATCCCCTTCCGGCCTTCCCTCTCACACTCACACGCCCTATAATAACCCCTCGCCAACTACCACGCCCACGCCACCACACACGCACACGAGCTGTGTCGATCTCTCCATAGAAAGAGGCGCAAGCTACCTTGCCCAGCCATGGAGAACCCCTACTACGCGAGCTTCCTCAAGAATCACCACCGCCGCTACTGCTTCTCCACCCCGTCGTCGCCGTCGCCGGCTGGCGCTTACTCCTCCTCCGCCTCCTCCTCCTTCCCGTTCTTTCCGACGGTGGGGGTGACGTCGACGATGGCCGCGACGCCCCCGACGACGACTGCCCCGCCGTCGCCTCCGCTCCGGGAGGCCTTGCCGCTACTGTCCCTCACGCCCGCCTCGCGCGGCGGCACGACGGCGGCGCAAGAGCGTGCGCGGCAGCGTGGGGAGGACTGCACCGACGACGACGACGGCGCGGAGGAGGAGGGGGCGGACGAGGAGGACGTGCCGGGCTCGACGCCCGGCGGCGGCGGCGGCGATAGACACCACCAGCTCCGCCGTCGCCGCGCGGGGCGGCTCTTCGCCGACCTCAACACCAAGGCGGCGGCGGGAGACCCGATGGACGTGGAGGGCTCCGGCTCCGGCTGCTGCCGCGCCGCCGACGCCGACGACGACGCGGACGTCACGGTCGCGCTCCACATCGGCCTGCCGAGCCCGACCGCCGCCGACGCCGTCGTGCGTCCGAAGGGGAAGAGAAAAGGGGGAGAGGAGAGAGAAGGGAGAGAGAGGGATGAGGAGGAAGGAAGGAGAAATGATGACATGTGTCAGTCCCATAATATATTTTCGTGTGTGAATGACATATGTGTTTCACGGATATTTTTTGAATTCTAATGCCGCGTAAGCGTCACATGGGATGAAGACCGAGTCAACATTGCCACGTTAGGACCACGTCAGCAAAACATTCCTCCAAAACCGTTGAGAGAGTCAAATTGCACTGGTTTCAATAGTTCGGGGAGTCGTTCTATCCGGTTTTCCGGTTGAGGGGTACGAATTAGATTCGGCCTACAATTAAGGGAGTCAAAAATTAAGGGAGTCAAAGTGGACTTTTTCCTTTTTAATTCCGAATTTTAACTATTTCTAAATTGCATTTCTATATGGACTCTAGTCTCGTCTTCTAATATTCCTTATTTTTTAATTTCGAATTTTAACTAAATTGTATTTCTATATGGACTCTAGTCTCCTCTTCTAATATTCCTTATTTTTTAATTCCAAATTTCAGCTATTTCTAAATTGTATTTCTATATGGACTCTGTCTTTTCTTTTTCACCGATTAATGTGAGAATTTCTAGGCTATGAGAACGAACATGGAGGATCCTTTTTATTCCGAATTTTAGTTAGTTTTAAATTCCTATATGGACTCTGTATTCTACTTCTAATATTTCTTTTTTTAATTCCGAATTTCTATTTTTTTTCTTAATTGTATTTCTATATGGATTCTATACTCTACTTCTAATATTCCTTATTTTTAATTCTGAATTTCAGTTATTTCCTAATTGTATTTCTATATGGACTATATACTCTACTTTTAATATTCCTTATTTTTAATTCCGAATTTAATTTGTTTCCTAATTATATTTCTATATGGATTCTAGTCTCCTCTTCTAATATTCCTTATTTTTTAATTCCGAATTTCAACTATTTCTAAATTGTATTTCTATATGGACTATATACTCTACTTTTAATATTCCTTATTTTTAATTCCGAATTTCAGTTATTTCCTAATTGTATTTTTATATGGACTCTAGTCTTCTCTTCTAATATTCCTTATTTTTTAATTCCGAATTTCAGCTATTTCCTAATTGTATTTCTATATGGACTCTAGTCTCCTCTTCTATCATTCCTTATTTTTTAATTCCGAATTTTAGCAATTTCTAAATTGTATTTCTATATGGACTCTGCCGTTTCTTTTTCTCCGATTAATGTGAGAATTTTTAAGCCATGAGAGCGAACGTGGATGTTCCTTTTTCTATTCCTTTAATAATATAATAGATAGATAGATAGATAGATTGGTTATGTAGTATTGAAAGTATTTTTTTTTGTTTTGTAGCATAAAAATTAAAGGTTCACTTTAATAGTATTTAAAGTTATCTAAGTTAATATTTTTAGCACTTCCATCAGCACAATCTCCGTCGGCCAGGACGCGTACAGCGCTATCGCCTTCTCCGTTGCGGCCGCACCCATCACCGTTACCGTCAATGTCCATGGGAGCGCGAGTGGTGGAGGGGGCGGCGTCGGGAACGACAGTGGCCTTCGCCATTGATGGGGACGATCTCTCAAGAAGGGGACGAAGTATTTGCCTATGCCTTGCTCTTGCGGCGTGGCCAAGATAGACGCCATTGCTATGACCATTGCCTAAAGAGACGGAGCTACTCGTGGAACGCATAAACTCCGACGGCGGCATCCAATCCTGTCCAGCCATGGAAACAGATCTGGCAGTGGGGAAGCAGTGCGGCCAAAGGGGATGGGAGCGCACTCAAAGAGGATGGCGGAAGGTCGGGCCGCGGCAGCGCGCGGTGGGGACGTCGGCGGGCCGCCGCTGCTGGACGAGGAGACGTGTCTCCTGGAGGTCTATATGGGTGTGGGCTGTCCATGCTATAGGCATCCCATCCTCCCCAATGGGTTAAATATTATGTTGAGGCTCTTCCAAAAGCTGTTCGCCATCGACAAATCGCTGCTTGCCACCATGGCAGGAGCTCGATGAAGGAAGGAATGGCAAGAGAAAGAAGAGAAGGGCATTTTGGTCTAAAAATGGTAGATAATGGCATAGATTTTATTCTCACAAAAGAGCAGTGGTGGTATGTTTATAAATACAAAAATTATAATGGTGTTTTTTAAAACCGATAAATTTATAATGGCATAGTTTCAATTAACCCTTTCTTCAATGGCACCAGGGTTTGGAACCACCTCAATGCCTTGCCATGATGGTGGGTTCGATTATGTTATCAAAATCAACATCTATATGTTCTTCTAGGTGTGGGTTTTTGTGACGGAAATTAGACTGAATGTATGCTGTTGGTTTGGATTTGATTTGATCTGTTCTAGAATGAACTCACGATTTAAATGGAAAAGGACATGTTTACCCAAATCAATGCTTTTTGCCCTGCTGCCCTGCCCAATTTGTTTTTACAAAATTCCAGCTGTGGCAGCTGTAGGGTTGCAAAATCTCAAGCTAGGCGATGGCGAACACGCCCGGGCGCCGAACCGGGCGTTGGGGGCAAGCATCAGCACAACACAAGGCAAGGTCGCTACCGGCGGCCAGAGAGATCGGGGACATCAGGCTGCTCGAGCTAGAGCTGGTTGCAGTCAAAGTTGAGGGCAAAGGAGAGAAAAGTGACGGGAATGCTAAAATTGTTAACGGAGGAAAACTTTAGGTGCTATTAAAGTGAACTAGTAACTTTCGATGTTATAAACCCAAATTGTAAATTTTTGATGCCATGAATCAATTTTACTTAACTATTATCACTTTTGCCTACCTGTAAACGTGGCAACCCAATGTGAAAATTGGTATGGAACCCATTAGTCAGTCTCTCCCCTCCCCTTCATCTCTCCCTCAGCCCGATTGGATGTCGCTGGTTAGCCTTCCCTCACCGGCATCACTGTCATCATCCCTCTCTTGCCCCATCTCTGGCCGCCACGGCCCACGCTACCGCCACCGCCACCGCCGCCCCATTCCCTCTCATCCTTCGGCTCTGTCGCTACAGCACCACCGCCACCTCCCATACTGGACCTTCCACGCCTCTCTCTCCGAGCTCCTCACTAGCATCCCCATCCTCGCTCACGCTCGTCAGCCCCACCACGGTCGTCGACATGGCCGTAGTCAGAACCCGAGTATGGCGCCGTGGTTAAGCGCTCGATTCACCAACTTGATTTCATCATTCTCTCATCACCCTCCCTGAGATCGTCCCCCTGCTCCTGCCATCATCGGGGCTGACCTTGGCCAGAATAAACTTCCTCTTCCTTCTCACCTCCATGGCAAGCAACAGGGCCTTCCCGTCCACGGGCATGGCATCGTCGATGGTGCGAAGGGAAGGAACACGCGTTCCCAATGGCGAGCGGCGGACTCCCTTACCCTTAGTGGCATCAGTGAGGTCAGTAGCAAGGAGGGCCTTTGCCTCTTCGTGGCCGCGACGTGAGGCATGGGGTTGCATTAGGCGGTCCAGAGGTGTGACGTACGGAAGGCAAGGTTGGTCGTATCTGCGCTAGTGCCAATGTTCGGAAGTTGATCATGGCGGCGATAGTTGATGGGGAGGAGATGACGAGAAGGAAGAGGGGGTGGCGCGGGGGAAATTAAACTATTTGCACTTTTGGGATGTCAATTAACGATTTTTTACTCACTGTCTATGACATGTGGGCCCTCATATATCTATGGCATGTGGGCCTAGTGGTAAATCGTTAAGCACCACTCGTAAGAGTGGCAAATAGTTAAAAGCCCCGGCACGGGGAGGGAGTGGTGCTTGGGGTTGTAGCGGTTAGGAAGGGGCTCTAGAGGTCGTAGCTCAAGCTCGCCGTGGCCGGACGAACACGTCGGAGAAGAAGATGAATGAAAGGGAGACTTTGGGGAGGCTGACAGGTGAGTCTTGTGCTGTTTTTTCTGTTTGTAAACTTGAGTATACGTAGGTGGTAGAAAAATATAAAAATAAATCTACGCATGGGGTCACATTCCAGGCCAACCAAGAGTCGAACAAACGACCTGACGAAACCGAAGTCTTTGCCGACCAAACAAACTCTTGTAAGCAACGCCCAACCGCTCGCTTTCAATCCCGTCCAAAATCGCTCCCAAAATTAAGAACAATTCTACAAATCATTATCGTCTTCCTCGATGGCGCGCAAAGACCTTTTCGTGTTCTTGGAAAAAAAAAACGACACTACTATTTGTTCCTTTCACACACCAATCAGCCGTGTAATTCAGGGCAACAACAACTTAACGTGCAGCTACGTGTTAATCTTCTTCTTCTTCTTCTTTTTTTTTTCTTCTGATTTTGCTCCCTCGTGCTTGGAAATTGCATGAGCTTACGCGACGATGGACATCTGAGGGGACCGTCAATGAGTAAATGCATAATCATATCTGATTATATAGTTGCCAAATCTACACTATATCTTGTCATGAGGAGGCGTTTTATATTTATATATACAAGTAAAGTTGGTAGGCGTTTCGTATGAGTTATAAAGCTGGTGTTTGTGTGTGACAAACCTACGGAACTCTGCAACTGCAAGAGCAAACCACCTCCAACCCCCGTTCGTCTTCGTCTTCCCCAGAAATCTCCCTGCAGGTAATGATTGATTGATTAGTAGTAGGAATCTAGGAATCCTGCACCAGATTATCCATTTTTTTCTCACTCTATCTATATCTCTATATCTCTACAAAGGTAGTAGTAGGTAGGTAGGTTGGCAGAGGCAAGAAGATGGGGGGCGCCTTTACAGCGGCGCCCGCACTCGCTCTGGTCTTGCTCGTCGCCCTCTCGGTGGCGGCCACCGCGAATGTAAGCCGCCGGCCACCAAGAACCGATCGAATCAGTCGTAATCTTGCTCGCGACTGCGAGTTCTCATGGAGTCTCATGGTGGTGGTGGTTTCTTCTCTTCTTTTTTTTTTCAGGTGGGGGATTCATGCTCGACGGCGGTGGACTGCGGCGGCGGGCAGTGGTGCTTCGACTGCCAGCCAGAGTTCGCCGGCTCCAGCTGCGTCCGCTCCGCCGCCACCAATCCCTTCCAACTCACTGTGAGAGACCACGCTTCAGCTTGCTTGTTTCTTTTCTTCTCTTTTTTTTTTCCTTGTTACGTCAAGAAACGGATGAGGTGTTGTAGCTAGCGAGGCATCAGGCATATGCATCTGGTTTGGGAATTTTTTTTTCGGTTTTGGGTGTCTCCTGCTTGTGGTTTCATCGCCTGCTAGATCGATCTACTACTACTCTGAAGACGAACAGATTGGGAGGTTGTTTCACTGACCGGCAAAAATTCGGTTGGCCTTCTGTCAGTGTCAGGGTGTTCGTCGTCCTGAGAAAAACGATGATTGATACGGTTAGGTATCAACATTATTCCGTTCGTGAGATGCTTTTGCGAGCATATTCGTCAGATGCTTTTCATCACAGGATGAATTGTTCTAATCTGGCAAGAAATGTTCAACAGATAAAAAGGCAGTGTGGAACTAGTATGGATTAATTTATTTCCCGAATCCTCAGCCTAGTTAATGGCTTAATTCAATTGTCCATTAGATTGGATTAGTATTTTATTAAAATGCAGCTTCCGTGTAATAGGTTGGGTTAGTGGTTTATTGAAATGCAGCTTCCGTGTAATAGGTTGGGTTAGTGGTTTATTGAAATGCAGCTTCCGTGTAAGGCCGATTTGTGTTCTGTAGTCATGGACATCATGTCTGAACTTTAAACAGCTTCTGTTTGCTGCATCCTGACTGGAGTTTGCTTTTGATTTGTTCTTCAGAACAACTCGTTGCCATTCAACAAGTATGCGTATCTCACGACACACAATTCATTTGCGATCGTTGGGGAGCCATCGCACACTGGAGTTCCACGCATCACCTTTGACAACCAGGAGGATACAGTCACTGATCAATTAAATGTAATATCTGCCAGTCTCATTGTCTGTTCCCTCCAATGTTTCTGCATGTCTGACTATGCATTAGCCACCAACGGTACTCACAGAAATACCATATTGTTTTACAGAACGGTGTCCGCGCGCTGATGCTTGATACATATGACTTCAAAGGAGATGTATGGTTGTGCCATTCAAATGGAGGGAAATGCAATGATTTCACTGCATTCGTGAGTGAACTGGATGTAGCCATCTCACTTGTCATGACGGACAGAGTTTCAGAGCCAAATGTTTTATCATTCTGTTGGTAATTGCAGGAACCTGCATTGGACACATTCAAGGAAATCGAAGCCTTCCTTGGAGCCAATCCATCTGAAATCGTCACGTTGATCCTGGAAGACTACGTGCATGCACCGAATGGCCTGACAAACGTGTTCAAGGCCTCTGGTCTGATGAAGTACTGGTTTCCCGTGTCGAAAATGCCACAGAAAGGTAAGGATTGGCCTCTTGTCAGTGACATGGTTGCGAGCAACCAGCGCCTCCTTGTGTTCACCTCCATCAGGTCAAAGCAGGCTACTGAAGGAATCGCATACCAGTGGAACTACATGGTCGAGAACAACTGTGAGACATCACATCCTCTACTCTCTATATTTTTTTTTTGCCGTTCAACATTCCTGTTGCATGCAAGGGATTCACAAATTCTGTTGATCACAGACGGAGATGATGGTATGGATGCTGGCAAATGCTCAAATCGTGCAGAATCTGCACCTCTGAATGACAAAACCAAGTCGTTAGTCCTGGTGAACTACTTCCCATCGGTCCCGGTGAAGGTAACCGCATGCCTGCAGCACTCCAAGAGCCTTACTGACATGGTGAACACATGCTACGGTGCAGCTGGGAATCGATGGGCTAATTTACTCGCAGTTGATTACTATAAGGTAATTCAGCTTGGTGATAATGTACAAAGAAGCAGAGTTCAATTATTGTTGGTTTTGCTACAGTACAAGGTCATGCTGTTGCCATAGACTAAGTGATTTCTGTGTGCTTCAAACTGAAATAATACAGAGAAGTGATGGAGGGGGCGCATTCCAAGCGACTGATTTGCTCAATGGCAGACTCCTGTGTGGATGCCAGGATGTCAGGGCTTGCTCGGTGAGACGAGAGACAGGACACACTTGCTTCTTACCTCCTTGTGCATCTGTGGATCTGGATATGATGTTATGTGAATCATAAGTCATGACAAGAGTTTATATCTGTTTACCTCTATCCCCTCATTTGCAGCGAGGATCTGGTGTAATATGTTCTTCATGAACCCTGGGGAAGTAGGATTTGATTGGAGTGGCACATCCACATAGAAAAAGGTCAGACCATGAAAAGCCATTTTATGGTTGTTGAGATTCATTTTATTGTTTTTGATTGACTGACTTGGCCTTTAACAAATTTCTGCAGTGTTTATGATGTGATGATTCAGAGATTTAGCCTCAAGACAACATTGTAGGATGCAGATTACCATAAACTTGAAAGTGATGGATTGACCTCCTCTTGTGAATAGTGAATTCGTTCGTATAATAAATATTTATTTCAAGAGAATATATTGAAAAAAGAATATACTTGTGCATATTTTTTTAGTCATACACTATTTTTACAGACAAATTATACTTGTAGGTTGCAAATACTTTATAGTGGGAGTGGTGGTGTTATCTGAAAGAAGAATAATTCGATTTTTGGGCCACATCGCCACGACAATAATATGTCATGTAAAAACACTTTTAAGTTCCAACCAAGGTTGAAAAATGAACTGGTGGTTCAAGGTTTAATATTAACAGGTTTCGATGTTTAGCACATTCTATATTGTAATGAAATTGTTGTAACTTTTTAAAAGATAGCTCTTAGTTGTAATGGACTTTTTCATTTTTAAACAATATCAATATGAACATCTGCAAATATCACATTTTTTTCTTGTCTCCCATGAACTTATGGGCAACTGGTATATTTATCCATCATCATCCAGTAAATCCCTCAAAACCGGATATACAATTAGAGCGAGTACAATAGAAGTCAGCTGTACCTAGGTACATGTGGAGGAGAGAAGAGAAAAGAGAGAAGGAAAACGGGCTACAGATTTATAGCCAGCTGCAGTACGGACTCTAATACGCTGTGTGTGTATGAGAGATGTGAACATATATTAATAGTGTAGTATATGCTTAGAGTAAGTATAATAGGAGGCTGTAAGTCGGCTAAATACTAAAGTGGAGGAGAGAAGAGAGGAGAGAGAGGAAAAACGAGCTGTAAACTTACAGCCGGCTTGGACGCAAGAACCAAGAAATTCTGTGAGAGAAACAAGTGGGCCCTGTATTAATTGTAAATATCTAACTATTATATGTGTGGGATAAGAGAAAGCTGCAAAGAATCTTATACCCAACAAGTCGGCTGTATTATTAGCCTTGCTCTTATAGGTAACTATTGCATGAATGGGCTATTAGATTGGCTATAGATGATTTGGAGCTAGTATTTGGCTATACTATTAAACTTGCTCTTAATGATGAGATACTAGTATAATGTTTCCAATTCCTTAGTCAGATAGCTTCATATTCCTCTGATCTGGTTATTCCCTTTGCGAGGAATTAACAGGTAGTACTGTTTTTCATGAATGCGCATAAATATTGCACGTTGATATTGTAAAACCAAGGAGTTGTGATTTTGTGATGAAAATATTGGTGGTTTGCTAATGTTATTTTGGAGATTTTATAAGACGGTTGATTTTGTGAATTGTGCAGTTTCGGTTGACCCTGGCGGTCAGACCGGTCGTGTGCCGCTGGTCAGACCACAGGTGTTGCGGCGATCAGACCGGCCGACCCGACGGTCTGACCGGCAGGATCCTGTTTGTTTTCGGTTTCGGGTTGTCTTGTTGAATTTGGATGTTTCCTTCGGGATTTGGCTTCTAGATGGTTTCTATGTGTATGGATATTGTTTGTTATACTAATGTGAGTCAAGTTGGGACGAACTTGTGCTCGGAATATGGTTTCTTGGTTGTTGCATATGTAGGTGTTGCTTGAGGCCTCGGGAGAATGTTGTCGGTGATAGATCGGAGTCGACTTGGGAGAATTTGATGTCCAGAGATCAAGAGATCATGAATGATACTAAAGGCTAGAGGACAATGCACATGGTGATGATGAAATTCATATGATATACAAGAGGGATCGTGTACGTATGGAAAGAGGAGTCGAATTTGAAAGGGAGTTCGAATTCGGTAAGATTGATTGAGATAGGGAAAAAGATGAGTTGGATACTTCTAAGAGAGGGTTTCCTACGTGGTTTAGGAGTCCTAAGTTGTGTAAGATTCGTGGGCTTTGCACAGCCTACCTCATGTATAAATAGAGGGAGGGTGAAGCCTCCCGGTATTAGTTTTAGAGAGATCCTAGAGTTGAGAGAAAGTTAGGGTTTCGAGTTTAGTTCGAGATTTTGGTGAGGAGTACTGTTGGTGCACTTTGCAAACACTAGTTGATGCAATAAAGTCGAAAAGTTTCAATCTACATCTTCGAGTTTATCATCTACCGGTGTTTCTGGGTCCCGACGGTCTAACCGCAGGTGTGCGTGTGGTCTGACCGGTGGGATAGCGGCGGTCTGACCACAGCTGTCCGGCTTCGGTGGTCTGACCGACGGTAGGAGGGCGGTTTGACCGGCAGCGACAGGGTTTCGACATCAACTCCGTTCGAGGTTAATCTTTAATTCTGCAAAAGATTATTAGGGTTTTGGTTTTCCCTACCATTCATCCCCCTCTGATAGGTTTATGTGGTCTTGTGCGATCCTACATATATATTAGAAGAAAACGGAATTTCAGTTACACAACGCAATGGCTGGGCCACTGCCAGGGGAAAAAAGAAACGTTAGTGGGATAAAAAAGGCTCTAAAGAGGGAAGAGGCCAAAAAAGAGTGCTACTATCCTTCTAACAAGACCCCTAGGTGAGCGGCTCAGGCGCTTGACCACAACCGACCTTCAAGTTTGATCGACTCGAAGACTACAGGGATAGGCAAGAGATAAGAATAAAAAACTCTTGAGTTCCGCTCTTTCCAAAGTTGCCGGGATACTAGCAGTACCAAGAAGTCGAAGCCCTTGTGAAGAGGCTTCAGAAGAAAGGCTCTAGAAGATAGCCACTAATATTATCTAAAAAAAAGAAGATAGCCACTAATTCTGTAGCATGCAACCACGAGGAGGGGTAAAGGCCAGTCAACCGCTCAACAACATGACGTTGTGCCAGACATGATATGGTTCACCATCTCAACCTCTTAGGCACGGAAGGGGCCGGCTGAGTGGTTGTTGATACTCGATTCCACATCTCAATACAAGGTTGGCAATCCAGCAACGCTGCTGAAACGCTAGCTAAAGGAAAAGTTTACATTTGGCTGGCTGCAGCAGATCAGCATGCGCAAAAGAATGGAGATCAAGAAAGAAAGGCTGGTTCGCTCGTCCAACATGAGACAAGCCGCAGGTTGCTGTATGGGAAGTGAAAATCGTGGAAGCTGAAGAAAGAAAAAAACTGGAAACGCCGTTGCCGGGGATCGAACCCGGGTCACCCGCGTGACAGGCGGGAATACTCACCACTATACTACAACGACTTGCTTGCCTCAATTCTGTTTCAGGTTCTACACAATTCGGGAGCCATGTATGTACGACGAAACCCGTTTAATTTTCCCTTGGAGATCATCCGTCGAAACGCATCAGTCGTAGCAAACATGCTCAAATGACACATGGACATGTATGAACTAGCTTGGAATAGGGTATGGGCGTTGTAGAATGTATAGGCAGAACGCGTTCGTAATTACTAGTAGTTGGGTCCATCCGTTTGGCATCGGACGGAACGGAAGCGAGCGCTCGCTCGCGCAGCGTCCAAAGCCTGCTCGAGACGGCCCATTTACAAGCGAGAGGACGACCAAAGGAATAAGTTCATCTGAGGTCCCTTAACTTGTCGACGAATCCGATTTTCGTTCTTCAACCGAAAAACCAGATACAACGGGTCCCTCAACTGTCAAAACCTGTGCAGATAAGGTCTCCCGGCGGTTTTGGCTGACGTGGCGCCTACATGGCAAATTTGACTTGGTCTTCATCTGATGTGGCATTGACATGGCGCTTACGTGGCAATTCGATCCCAAAAAATAATAAACTTCGTGGGACCCACATGTTAGTTTCATAGATAAATTAATAAAAAATGGTAGGGCCCACATAGGCCCCACATGTCATTCTCAGCACCTCCCTCTCTTCAACTCTCTCCCCCCTCTTCTTCCTCATCACTCCCCTCTCCCATCCCCAAGGCGGTGCGTGGCGGTCGGGCGAGGAGGCGGCGCTCGGCGGCCGAGTGAGGAGGGGCAGCTCGCGGCGGCCGGGCGAGGAGGGAGGTGGAACAGCTGCTGCAACAGCCTCTGCAGTGCCACGTCCCCTCCTCCTCTGTCATCCCCGGTGGCCGACCATGACACCCCGGCCACCGAATCCCCTCCTCCTCCGCACGATGTTGCTTCTTCATAAGGAGCCGCACTAGGAGGTGGAGCAAGCCGCAGATGAAGAACACCACCGCGAGAATCACGATGATGAAGAGCACCGCGGGGCTACTCTTCCCCCTTCTAGCGCCGCCGCCGCCCCCACTCGTCGTAGCCTGCAGCTGCGGCAGCGGTCGCGCCAGCGACGGAGGAGCCACCCCGGCATATGGAAGAGCGTCCCTAACGACGAGGTCCCTACGAAGGCGGGGCGAGGCTGTAGTAGAGGCCCCCTCCACCTCCGCCATCGCTGTCGGGCACCACGGAGGATCCGGACGAAGCGAAGGCTACTTCAACCATGGCTCCTCCTCCTCCTACACACTCGGTCCGGGAGAGCACCTCCATCACCACCACCACCCACGCATCTCGTCTCATCTGATCTGATTCCCCCAACGATTCTGGTCTGTACAGCAACAAGAGACCGGCCGGGTGAGGAAGGACGCGGCGGGTGATGGAGTGGAGCTGTGGCGCTTGCAGGCGACCTCCTCCTCTGCCTCTTCCTCCTCCGGCCACCTCTGCCGCCCGCGGCCTGCCGCCGCTCCGCCGTGAGGATAAGGGAGAGCCGAGAGGAAGAGGAGGGAGAGCCGAGAGGGACTTGTGGGGCCCATGTGGGCCCCACCATGTTTATTTATTTTTTGTAGCTGACATGGGGGCCCACGTGGGCCCCACCAATTTTTTTATTAATTTATGTGTGAGACTGACATGTGGCTCCCACGAAGTTTATTATTTTTCGCCACGTCAATGCCATATCAGATGAAGACCAGTCAAATTAGCCACGTAGGCGCCACGTCAACCAATACCGCTGTCAAAACCCCCGAGGGACCTCATCTGTACTAGTTTTGACAGTTAAGGGACACGTTGTATCTGGTTTTTCGGTTGAAGGACGAAAATCAAATTCGTTAACAAATTAAGGAACCTCGTATGAACATATTCCGGCGAACAAACAGGCGTTGGTCGAGTCGCGAAACCCCAATCCTGAGGAAAGCCCCCCTCCTCCCATTCCCACACGGCTCGTTCCCGCTCTGGAGGCTGGAGCCCGACTGCACTTCTGCCTCGATGACGGCGGTTTCCACGTACGTCAAAGCACTGCCCAAGGGCCGTGTCGCAATTGGAGGTAGGGCGACTGCCTCTGCCTTCTGGAGGAGGTCGAGATTGAGAATTTGAGATTGCAAACTGATATATACTATTGTAAATTGATGTATATTGATATTCAATTTGATGATTGATTGAACGTGTCAATCAATTTGAGACTGATTTTTGTGAGAATGTAAATATTGTAATTGGATCAGTTTATTGAGCATGCTAGCGGGGGAATGATTTAAATCCACGTCACGGGCGGGAGCACATATCTGTCCAACATATGATTATCAACTAAATCCCTACACGAATGGGC